TTAAAAATAATATAAATAAACAAGGCCATATTTGCATGTCACATTGATCCTAAATGTAAAATGCTTGGACATTAATTAAACACAATTCTGGATTCAGAGTAAAGGAAAGTTATTACTTTCTGGTTTTTTTAGCTACTTGAATAAAGAGACAAGTGAATGACTAAAGGTACTGGTATACTGCTAATTCACATTACAGATTATTAACCTGTGATTGCTTTTTTAAAATTATATTCAAATGGGGCATGTATCTGTCAGTCATAAGCAGTCACTTATATGTTAATTAAAATAATTTAATAATTAATTGATTGCATGCAACTGTAATATTTGAATTATCAATTTTTGGATGCTTAGTTTTAGGGCCAATTCACATGTTCATTTTTTATTTTTAGTTTTGTATACTTTAATATGAAACACGCCCTATCGTACATAAATGGTACATTCCTGTACAGTTAGCCACATGCCTCTTTCAAAATATTAGCCGTTATCATAACAAAACTAAGCTAGCATTGTTTATTTCATTTTCTAAGCATCTCATAACTGAATGGGTTGGAGTGTAATATAAGGCCAAGTAAGTAAATAAATATATAAAATAATTGCTCATTAAAAAAAAAAATCCTTAATTCTAATTCTTAAATCTGTGGGCTACCCAAGAGATGCATGTTCTAAGCATAGCCTTTAGTACATCACTGTGTTACAAAGTTATTTCTTACACATGTTGTTTCTTATACTGTGCTGTCTTGCTTCTGGGTTCCTGTGTTATACGATGGCCACATTGAAGGAAGTTAGCAGCCAGATTCATTACTTTGTTAAATATTTTTCTTCAGTTCTCACTTCACTAACCCATTAATTCCCAAGACTTTACAACTTAGATTTAAATTAATTCAGAATACTTCAGACTTGTCTTACAGCCAGTATCAATCAATTAGTATTTGCCTTAACTGCCTCCAACCTGATTAATAGCTAAATGTTGTTTGTTCTGTCTGATGGTCCTCTCTTCAGTGTATTGGACTGAAATTAAGTAAAGTAATTCCCACTTCCACAAAGATAAAATAACATACCAGCATGCCTCATACCATTCTGCCCAGATCAGTGCATTCACTGAAACATGTTTAACTGCATTTAGTTGTTTGAAAAAACAAAACAAACTTAAAAGGCTGCACTGTGGTAGGCGGTGGTGAGAGAAGATATGAGCAGATGCATCTGGATGCAACAAGTCTATAATAATAATGCAACAAACTTACATATAGAAGTTCTTATAGTATGGTAGATAGTAGATGATGGTGGTGCAACAAAAAGTTTGGAGGTGTCATGAGAGAGAGTAAAGGAACATAGTTGTAAAAGGTGCATGCACTAACACCAGTAGCTTGGAAATTCCATGAACAAGATGCCAAACTTCGGTGAGTGGAGATGATGATAAATAATGGATCCCCTTGCTTCCATATGGAAATGAATTCTGAAACTGAGTGTAGGAGTTGGAGGAGGGCTGCTGGGGAATAGGGAGGTAGCATAGTAAGAAATCCTGTCTCTGGAAAACCACTCCCATCTGTTGGAGGAGTATGGCAGAGATAGATAATATAACAACAAAGCCAATAACTCTGTGAATTTCGAAGGAAAAAAAAAAGGCGTGAGGCATTCTTCTGGTGGATTGAAAAAAAAAACACCTGAAATGTCTTACTCTTGTTAGTTATAAAAAACGATTCATCATATTAGGGAAAGGATTGTGTAGATGTAGATACCTGGCATTTTTTCTCCTTTTCTTGCTCTCTTCTCCTTACTCCTTCATCTCTCTTTCTGTATAAGAATATGCAATATCTTTATCCTATTAAAATGATAAAGTATCACATTTTTGAGGTAATCCATGCCAAGCATGAAATCCTCAGTTTATTCCACAATGAAAACAAAGTCAACTAAGAGTTCTGTCTGTCTCATGTAAGTCTGTTTAAGGAATGATAGCAATGAGAGTAGTACTTATGTGAGATATTTGGAAATGCATCCTGAACAGCTTCTGCTAGAAATCAGTAGATGTAAATCTTTATATAAGAGCACTAGAAGGACAAGAATGTTCCTTTTTCCCCTCTAGCTTCCTTGGCTATATATGTTTAACATTACAACTGATTTTCCTGTAGTTTTATAGTTAGCTATATAATAGATTACTTTCTGGTTGATGGTAGTTTGAGGAAATATGTGATAGAAAATTATTATCTTTAACAATATAATTTTCATAATACTAGTGATGTATATTTCATTTCCAACTCAGCTTTGCAAAATACTGTGTTTGCTTTAATGCAGAAATAATTATGCAACTATTTCTGGGGATATTAAACAATGAAATTTTATAGCCATGGAATTCTGAAATATACTGAATGCTAAAATGTGTATATCATGTGGGAAGTACATTAATGTATTATTTTGTGTTAAAAGAATAAAGTATTTTCTGGACTATGTAAAGCTGGCTATATGAGGAACTTCATTTGAGATGCCTCTTTTCTTTTTTTGAGTCTGAAATTCAGCAGTTCTGGCAATTCCTGTAACCAGAAATAAGAGCAAAAATGCATACTAAATATTATTTTTCTAAATTTGACAGATTTATACAGATCTTTCATGCCTATGGCTAATAATTCTACCTTGTTCAATATCAAGGAATGAATATGTTTCTGATATACTGTTCTGAGTTGGAGCTCAAAATCTGGCTGTAGTGGAACAGATGTATTAAGTGTAACAAGGGACATTCCTATGGATATGAATTAAGAATAGTATGTAATATTTACTTTGAGATCGTACAGCTTCAGGCCCATTTGTCTAATGGTGCTATCTAGGCAAATGGTTAAAATAGTAGTTTTCTAGAAATTGGCTGAGTTTATGCAACATGTTAATCCAAAAGCAAACAAACCATATTATGGCTTAGTAGTACGAGGATGAACCCAGCCATTGTGGTATTTGAATGGCGTATCTATTCAATATAAAATTGAAAATATTTTATAGTGCATGGATTAAGATGAGATGAGCCTAACAGAATTTAGATTATTTTTCATGATAAGCTGTAAATGTTCTCCGTAGTCTTATCACATGCTGATTTAGATATCAGGTGATTTAATGTGACTGATGTGCAAAGTCTAGCATGTATTGCTGATAGATATCACTGCTGTGGGAGGTGAGTACTCAGAAATAATTTTGCATCAGTTTCTTAGAAAGTTGCATAGGTATTTCAATATCTATGTGAATTCAGTGGTCACCATCTTAACCAAGGCAGAATTCTATCCCCCTAAACTTAGTAATAGACCACCGCTGTGCTTCTCTATGTCAGTGAGGTGGGATCCTTCCTCTGGTTCAGGTTATCCTCAGAAGAAGTCTATGGGCCCTAGCAGATTATTGTAGGGAAGAAAAGCTTACAATAAACTATTATAAAACCAACACTGCTTTTCTAACAACTTCCTGGCTGCCATAATTCTTCTTCAGAAATTTTCCTCGTTCTAGATAATGAGAATCCAAAGTGATGTATGTTATTGTATCTTTGAAGTACAGTGGTACCTCGGGATACGAACTTAATCCATTCCGTGACCCTGGGCGTATCCCGAGTTGGTCGTAACCCGACGCAAATTTCCCCATAGGGTTCAATGTAAATCCGGTTAATCCGTTCCG